AGTTATAAAATTCGTGCTGCGAATTTTCAAAAGTTGAACACATTTCAACTCAAGAGACATCCCAGTCGCTTCTTTTAAACGTCGCCAAAAGTATATGAACCAGTGTTTAGTCCAATATCAACATTACAGATTGTAATTGCCTTGGATCAGATTCAAAGAGCCTTCAATCATCTCACTAATGCACATTTATTTTTCAACGAATATGAGAAAATAAAAATGGTGTCTAGTGTTACTTCAGGGTTTTGTTGTGGAATGCACTGTCACCGGTAATGATTTTCAGACTTTCCACATTCAGCACATACCCTCTATGCCACACCGAAGAATCACGAGATTTTGTTTTCATTTTTAGATTGTGGCTCTTACTGCAGTTTTAGTGAGGTTAGACGAAGATGCATCGAATCGGCACCATCACCAACTGGTGAGTTCTTTAGTGGTGTAGCATCAGGGCTGATAAGGACGGTATTCATCCTTCCCTATATTTTGTCGCAAGTGTCCGTCCTTAGCCACAGTCCCGTGTTTTGTAACAAGTTACCATTTTCACAGTTACCGCCCTGTTCTAACTCCAGTAAGTTTTATAATGAGTGCCTTTCCCCTCATGGGGGCTCCTTTAATTGGTCACCAACACCACGAACTGACACACATCTTCACTTTTGTGCCAATTCATGAAAAGCCTGATTAGAGCAGTTTTGGTTTCACGAAGTGACACAAATGTACAACGCATATTGTACACTCGTGCATTATCGAACAATCTCGTTTTCACGAAGAAGCACAAATGTGTGTTTTGTCAATGTAGAATAGAAAAAAGCTTTAAATGTTCAATAAGATTTTACTTTACCCGTAAATGGGTGAAAAAAATGCTCTTAAAACTCGTAACTGTGTAAATTAAGGAGAACGTCAATTTCTGAATATGGCAAATCACGGAGCTCGTATCACAAGACATTTGTGCCTCTTCGTGAAAACGAAAATATCACATTTCTATAAAATACGAGTTGAAGCGCGCACACATCTATAGATTTGTGTTACTTCGTGGTGTTGGTGACGAATTTAGAGAGTTTTTATAGACCTTTCTTTTCTTCAGGCCAACAAAATCAGTCTCTGGTCAGCGCGGGTGTCGATTTTGAAAGTGCGCGTCAATTTTTCCCGTTTTTTCTCAAAAGTCTTAAAACAGCGCCCTCTATTTCCGCACTGCCTGCACGTTCGCAAGTACAGTAGATTGATTGCTAGTATATATCCTGGCCACAAGTCTACACGTCAGAAGGGTAATTTGCTAATTCGTAGGTAGTTCGTACCCGGTGATAGACCCGTTACGACTGCATGATCATGATGTCGAGCACAAACAGTAGACCATGGGTAGGTTACAAAGTTACAGCCAGCTGATCAACAACACTGGTGGTATGACGTGCGACGTGTTATTACTAGCCTTTGCTCTATGATCCAATATGCCGCTCATTTCTGTGTCCGCAAGTCTTAAAAAGCCACCCCCATCCCTTAACTAAAAAACCCCGCGTCGCTGCATCAATTCTGGAGCTTTAGTCTGACCAGAGACCGAGCTTTATTTTTTTTGGGGGGGGCCTTACAGACATTGACCAACATTTTGTATTCACAGCCAAAGTTTGCAGAAAATTCAGTCCTAGTGACAGCAATTTCTGCTTCACAATGCACATTTTACAGTGTCATTATTAAATCGCTAGGAATTATTATTGGAAGTTAACGTTCGTACAACTATTTACTGTTTAGTGTTTTAACATTTGAAGGAGATGTTTCAACACGTCATTGGTTTTGTTCTTATGGTCAACCAACGGTTTTGCGTTCTAAAACATTCTCGTTTAAAATTCAAGTCTCGGCTTTTTCACCATCATAAATCTACAAAGTCTTAATTGCAAAAGGCATGTTTTACAAATTCCGTCTTGTAGGCCATTGGAATATTCGGGCTGTTCAAAATACGTGAGGGAATAACAAAATGTCCTAAAATACATACACCTTCAACACAAGTTCAAATGTACATATAAGTCTCCCTCTTATTCTACAAGTGTATTGAAAAGCTTCGCACCGAAGCCCACAGCTTGACATAAATACGAACATGCGCTCATCATCGCTGTAGATAAACTTGGTGATAATACTAAGGATGGCGTGGGTTTCTCGAAAACTCGTGCGTTGGGCCCTGCAGGACACAGTATTCGGCTAAGGTTGCAGGTTAGTCATTATGCCTCACTTTACGAATGCCAAATCTTCATACTTTGGAAAGTAAACATTAAAGGTCACCTTGGCTCTTCACGCAGGTAGTTGCCGTTCCTGCGGCTTTCGCGTGATCCGGCAACAGGTACAGGAGTGTCTCCAAACGCAACAATGTGAGTTAAACAGCTGCTTTATTAATTAAAGAGACACTTTCAAAAAAACAAAAACAAACAAATCCAATCTCACTCTCCCCTCCGCCCCCGTCATTTCGAAGTCATTTCCCTGTCCTATTTCTGACGAGTTTTCATTGATCTGTGAAAACAGAATTAATCTAGTTTCTTTTCGATATTTTCTAGGTAGGAGAAAGCGAAATGTTGGGGACGAACGAGAGCCTTCATTGTTCCAGTAGTAATTTAGACGCAACTAACAGGTAGTTTCTAAATACCAGTTTTTTCTTTATGTTTACTTTCTAAATCAATGCTCTGTCTTCAGATGTTATGTTTGATAAATGTATTTTGTGAAGCGTTTTCCTAGGGTCCCCTAGGCTTTTACAACACCGCTTTTGGTCCCCTATTTAATGCCATGAAAGTGGACCACTAGAAACTTCAAATTCCCACCAAAAATGAATGTGATAATCCAAAAGTGAACTGTCCAATTTTCTCATTTCATCTTAGTAGATTTCGTATTGAATATGTTTAAAAACTCAGTTTTCTGCTAGCAGAAATTTTCGTTTAATTTTGACGACTCTCACGGCGACCCAAAAAAGGACAAGTAGAAACTTCCAATTACTCTTAGCCAAAATTGCTACGATGCTCCAAATGTGGAAAACCCAATTTTCTAATAATACTACCAGAATTTACTACAAGTAAATTTGGATTTTGCTTCTACTCCTTAACCCTAACTGCCCAAAACCTGCCATACTCCAACAGCAGGTTTTGTGAGGTTTTGGTAGGTTTGGTACCGTACCTGAGGAACTTGTAGTTGAATTTTGTGAGACTTGGGATGAAAGGCCCAGGGAGATGGTGTTGGATTCTGTGTGAGTTGGGACACGCACGGGTCACTGTGTGCAGTGTCTGGCTTGCTGTACCAATTGTTGGACTATGCTTGATTTTGTCAGGTTTGGTACTGTTCAGTGCAAGTCATCCTATACTGCGTAGACCCATCCATACCATATCACTCAAACTCCAACGGGCTCATTTTGTTGGAGTTTATCAGGTTTGGTACACTAACCTGCATGTACAAGTACATAGACAAGTACATGAACCTGTTGGATTTTGTGAGATTCAATATGCTTTCTAGTGCAGGAGCCTAGGGGGTTAGGGTTAAAGTGGACAATGGAGGACGAAAACTGGCCATCTGCTTATCTGCTATCAGATTGGTAGAAAAGCAGATTTTATGTTCTGATAACATGCATTTCGAGTTGTCTACATTTTTGCTACTTCAAAAAGCAGAACGAACATTGTTTGTTTATGCATTTTTCTATTTTTCTGCTTTTCTGATTCCAGAAAAGCAGATTTTACTTCTTCTTCAGGTGGCCAAAAAGCGGCCATCTGCTTTTCTCCTTTCGAACAGGCAGAAAAGTTGAATTCACGGTTGTCGTCAAAACGTTCAATCCACTTCCCTGCTTGTTTGACAGGTAAAAAGCAGATGGCTACTTTTCAGCCGCCATGAAAAAAAAGGGGAAAAGTGAAACTACTTTAGTAGCAGCAGAAAAGGGGAAAATGCATTACAATAAAATGGCCATTCTGCTTTTGAGGTAGCAGAAAAGTAGAAAAATAAAAAATTGCATGTTACAAAGACGTAAAATCTGCTTTTCTACAATTCTTATAGCAGAAAAGCAGATGGTCACTTTCGTCCTGCATAATGGACACCCACAATGTACACTTTTGCTTGCAGAAATTTGGGTTATACTTTCATGCTCAACCAAAATTTGCAAATTTCTTCAAACAAGAAATTTAGATTTTGCTTTCAGGAGAAACCAAAAATTCCAAATTTCTGCCAGCGAAAACTTTGATCCAAGATGTGCAACCTTGAGGTTCTTTTATTTGAAAATGAAATAGAACAGTCCATAAATTATAAACCGTAGCGTCTGATTTATGGAAGACAATGCAATTAACATGGCATTTCTTTTGTCATCTGTTTACATCCGGCCGGATGAGATTTTGTACACAATACGCTGGGGCAACCAGACTTTAAAAAAGGCTACCGCAGCTCTTGATGATTTGCTTCCAAACAAAATAAACTTTGACATTTCAACAAGTATTAACGAGGTATAAGATGAGGGCTAGTCTTTCTTCAAGAATGGAAATCATTTTCCCCCATTTGGATGACGACATCCTGAGATAATAATTGTCGACCCTAATCACCCTTCGACAAGGTTGTAAATCTGAGGGTCTTCATGGAAAGCAGTCCTGTGCACTGATC